AAATCCATTAAATGTGTCAAATTCGATTGCACTTCGCACACAAAAGACGATACTTCTTCCAGTTTACTTCTTTTTTCGCAATATACTTCTGGAGAAATCTCTAGACAAATTTCATAATTAGAGCCTTTTGGCCAATCCCTTTTCTTCAACCGAAGCCATTCTGGACCTTGCATCCAAATCGAACTGGACATAAACTTTTCCACGGTAGCTCCTCGAGATATGAAATCTGCAGGATTATCCTGCCCACTACAGTGATTCCAATCAGCAGGATCAGTTCTAGACTGGATTTCGGATACACGGTTCGATACAAAAGGTTTCCATTTTGAAGCTTTCCCTTTAATCCAATGAAGAGCGATTAAGGAATCTGTCCACATATATACCCTAGGCACAGGAAATTTAAAATTTGTTTTCAAATATTGGAAAAGTCTAGAAGAAATAACAGCTCCCATAAGTTCAAGCCTCGGTAATGTCAACCTTTTAAGCGGTGCGATTCTAGATTTCGCAGTGATAAAACTTGTATAAATACAATCATCACTTGACACGTAACGGAAGTACGCAACTGCTCCGAAAGCTTTAGGAGAAGCGTCAGAAAATATGTGTAGTTCTAATTCTTTCACCAACTTCCATGGTATGGAGAAATATTTTCTTTCGATTGTCAAATCTTTCAACAGATAAATCTGAGAGCACCAATTATCCCATTTTTTCTTCAAGTCAGTTGATAGCTCATCATCCCATCCTAAACCAAGTTCCCATATTTCTTGCATTAATAATTTTATGAGAACAATAAAAGGTGATGCAATTCCCATAGGATCAAATAACTTCGAAGCTGTCTGAAGTACACTACGTTTTGAATTCTTCCTATCACAGGTCATGTCCAGTAGAGGTTTTACATCTAACTTAAAAAGTATCTTCTTCGGTGTTCCATATTATGCCTAAAACCTTCAAAGGACGTTCTTTAGTTTCTGTCAAATCAGACAAACCTCGTTCACTCCATAAATTTCTCAACTCATCCGAATTAGTATTAAATTTTCTTAAATTCATGTTCGCATCTTTAAGAATTTTTACAGCGCTCTGTGAAAGTTCTAAAGTTTTCTCTATTGTATTTGCTCCGTAAAAAAGATCATCTACATAAAGTGCCGAGTCAAGCATTTCACAAGTTTCGCTTTGTTCAAGTTTATATTTTCTAATGTGGTATTTAATAGTCGCAGCAAGGATAAATGGGCTTGATGTCACTCCAAAGGAACGCGAGTCATTCGTAAAATTTTGTAAGTTTTTTGAATCACTTTCATCTGGAAACCAGAAAAAACGTAAATAGTCTCTATCCTCTTCCGCTATTCCTATGGTCAAAAATGCTCCCTGAATATCACAGCTGAATGCATATTCATATTCGCGAAATCGCAAGATTACATCCAAAATTCTGGGATTCAACGGTGGCCCAGGATTTAAGCATTCATTAAGAGATTTGCACCCATTACCTTTTGACGATGCATCGAAAACCAATCTGACTTTCGTAGTGTCCCTATCCGATCTTACTACAGCTGAATGAGGCATATAATAAGAATTCTCTTCTAAGCCGAAAGGACATTCTTCAACGATATTCAGTTTTAATTGCTCCTTAACTATATTCTTATATTCATTATAAACCCAATCATTTTCTTTCATTTTTACACTTAAGTTACGAAATCTTCGTTTTGCTACCGCGAAATTGTTAGACAAGTTTTCTGGTTTACCGTCCCAGAATAATTTAGTTGTATACATTCCATTTTCATATTTTAAATTACTTTCGAATTGAGAAATAAATTCCTCTTTAAATTTAAAATCTCCACTGTGAGTATCATTTATCCCCATTGAATCTAACTGCCAAAACTGCGTTAGTTTTTCATTTAATGCGGCGCAACATTCAATTTTCATAATAGAAATATCCCGATTCGCATTTAAATCTGATGGAGGGATTCGACCTTGAACAACCCTTCCAAACAGAGTATCAATCAAATACAAAGATTTGTTTAATCGCTGTTTTTCTCCCGTATGAATATCCCAAAAATACTGTGCTCCAATAAGGAGAGACGATTTACTTAAGTTTGACAATTGAATGGTCTTCCTCGAAAGTATTTGCGTTAATTTGTTATGTGATACTTTAAACTGCGATCCAGAAATACAGTCAGTCAAAAGTGCTTCAATCGTTATTTTCTTGTCCGAATCACATAAATTACAAAGTGAAAACCGAACTACGTCATACGTTTTTTGTATTGGCACTCTAGAACCGAAAGTGTAAACAGCTAGACTTTCTTGTCTAATTATGGGTAGTTTCATTTCTACGGCTACTTCTTTTCTCAAAAAAACATCTCTGTGACGCATTATCTAACAAAATATTAATCTCTTTACTTTTATTATTGCCTATTAATACTGCCGAGCAAGTTTCAAGTAGTATGTTGCAATCATCGGATTCATTCACACATGCTACGGAAGACACAACATTTAATTTATTCGCGTCGACGGTCTGACGAGACTCCAGAGCGGGGGAAGAAGAATAAACATTGGGTTGATCGCAAATCAATTTGTGATACGTAAAACGTTTACAAATTCCACAAATAGATTTCTTGTGACACTGCTTATATATGTGTCCCTTCGAAAGGCAAGCGTAACATATACCATATTTTCTAAGAATTAATTTTCTCTGTTCTACCGATAAGGGACAAGAGGTAGAATCGTGCTCTATTTTCGGTTTTGTACAAAATATACATTTTTTCACATCAACAATAAATGCAGAAGTAGTAGGAATGTTCGAATTTAATTTATTTTTCCCGCTATAATCAACCTTTGGTTTTATTAAATCTCCCATACTTTTGATTAGGTTTTTGTAAAGGATTAAATTTAGTTTCCAATCGCGAATCTGAAGTGTTTAAATTAAAGTCTCTACTTAAGTACTCGTTACGTTCACAACACTGAATTTCAATCTTTAAAAATTCCAATAAATCGGATATTTTGTTTTCATCTTCCGAATGTGTTTTACGAGAAAATTCTAAGGACAAATCTTTGGGTATCGATTTTAACAACACTGGATACAATAGACAACTGTAACTATTAGGATTAATTCCGTTATTTTCTAATCCTCGAATATGTGTTTCGCATTCTGAGTAAAGTCTACGCAACGCTACAATGTCATATGATTTTCGTACTGGACTTAAGTTTAAAAGTCTTGCCATATGCGCATCTATAATAATATCTTTTCGACCAAAACGTTCTTTTAATATGTTAAAGGCAATTTCATAGTTTTCAGAGCTTAATGCTAAACCACGTAGAGCTAACTCAGCTTCGTCTATTAAGTATGATTTTAAATAACTAAACTTCTCTACATTACTAAGATTCACTTTTTTATGGATAGCTACTTCAAACTGAGAATAAAATTCATTAAACCTTAATATATTGCCATCGTATTGAGGTATCTGCAAGCGAGGAAGTTTTACTGTATTCTGCTGCTCACTTCTGGTTTCTACAACATTCATTCTTTCAGTTTCGCGAACAACTTTGCGAAACTGAAAGAACGAATCATTTTCAGGATTCTATCTGCGCGAATTTTCCAAGTAATAATATTATCTTTATATTCTTGCTGTTTTTCAATTTCCTTTTCTATTTCTTCCGTTTTGCACAGTTTTAGAATTTCCTCATTAAGATACTTTAAATTAGCTTCTGTATCTAAAAGTTTCGCTAAAGATTCATCAATTAAATCAACTGATCTTTCCTGTTTGTTTATTTCAGTTTCTAACAGTTTCATAGTGTCGGTTGCCACACGTCTGACAGATGCTCTAATCTTTTTTAAAGCTTCAATATCCATCATAACAATTTAAATTATTCAATTTGCTAAATACGTTTTTCAGTATTCAATTCGCAATTTACTTTATCTAAAGGTCTCTCCCGGATTATCGGCAACAAAAAGTTTTGTAAATACTCATATACATTCTTTGTCGCTATAACTCAATTCAAATCAAAATATAAAGAAATCTCACTTACCTGTCAGACGCATTCACCACTTTTATCATTTTCTCTATATTTTATTGACGACACAATTAAATACATTTACAACAAAGAGAAGCACATATAAACTTTGGTTAATGTTTCCCGTTGGTGTTATATCTTTCGCAATCATCAAGGTTCTGCACTAGTCCGAAGCTTTAAGCGCACACAGCACCATCTGGTGCAGTACAGTTTCTACACATCTGTATGGGGCTCAAGGCTCCTGCTAATGACAAGCACAATTTTGCATTCCTTGCCACGAGGAATTTCATGGGCTTGTGCTGATGTTGCTGTTAGGCAAGTGAGATAAGTCACAACATAACAACAAGAGAATAATATAATTTAATCACTGTGCATTTTTATTTATGACTTTTCGTCTTCATTGGTATTTATTGTTTACTTTCGTGCCTCTTATAATTAATTTACATCTCTTTGTTGCCTTGCGTTTTTGTCCTTAGAATATGGTCTCTAGAATGTAGCTTATCTGTAACTGTTTTAATACTTATTTTTAATTGAAGTATGTTATCAGTTCATTATTGGATTTTTATGTATGGATATTTAATTATTATATGTTTACAGTTTGATTTGTGTGAAATGTAATGTCTACTTTTGGAAAACTGTTCATGAAAACATTGTTGAATTATTGTAATTAGTAAAAGACATTTCTAATTTCATTTGTATTTCAGTAACTTCTTCAATTTATATTTTCTTTAGACTTCTGTCAAACTTTCATGGTTAGCATCTTACTAACCAAAGCTAACTAAATTATCCATTACTAACTAAATCTTGTTGTACATTGTATTTCAGTTTTAAATATTTTTAAATTCACTTTTAAGATTCTAATTATCAAGCATTCATTTCATAAAAGTTTTCAATACTTTATAACGTAATGAAAACATTTATTTTGTGTATGTTGTGAGTACTTTTATTTGCTATATGCTTTTATATGTACTATATGTGATGCAGTTTCTTCTCTTTTCTTGCAGAAACTCAGTTAGTTCGAAAAGAAGTTACAAAAGTTGCTAAAGATTACAAAGGAAAGATCACTTTTGCCATTTCTGATGAAGAAGAGTTTGAAGATGAGTTGATACAACTTGGATTGGATGACAGTGGTGAGGACGTCAATGTAGGCTTCTTTGAGAGTCGTAAAGTTCGATATAAGATGGAACCTACAGAAGACTTTTCAGCTGAGGAATTAAGAACATTTGTAGAAAATGTTCTTGCAGGTTAGCATTTTTTCCTCTTTTCATCAGCAAAATTTAAAAAAAAAAATTATGTGTAGCCTGATTAATCAGTTATTTATTATTAAATAATTTCCACAAATGACTGGTAAATTTAATGATTTTTAATGAATTCAGTATGAGATTTGAAGTTATGCTTGTATACTATGTATATATGCTATTCAAAAGTATTAAACCCTTGGTTGGCAAAAATACATTTATTGGTTTGGGAATCCAAAACACTAGTTCCTTTCGATGTAGTTTGCTTAGTAATGATTACATGTCTCCCAGCACTCCCGCTAATATTGGAAACACCTCTGGAACACAGTTTTAGGAATGGTGAGCAATCATTCCATTGCATTCTGCATGATGTCTTCTCTTGACTGAAATCAGGCCCCTTTTAATAGCATTTTCATCTTGGGAAATAGCTAAATATCATTGAGTCATGGCATGGGAGTAGAGAGTCTGACGAACCACAAGAATATTGTGTTCATGGGGAAAGCCTGAATCAAATGGACAGAATAAGCAGTTGCATTTTTATGATGGAGCTGCGAAGTTTTTGCTGCTCATGGATCCTGTCATTTGTGCTGCACAGCATCACGAAGGTTATGAAGGACCTCCTTGTAGTACTCCTTTGTGATGGTTTGGCCTTGTGAGATACTTATGATATACCACACCACAGGAGTCAAGATGGGGGGGCCCGCTATTAGCATAATCCAGCATGTCGTGTGTGATGTCCGGATGCCATTGCTTCTGCTCCATTGTTAGCAATTTCGGTACAAATTTTGTGGATTCTCTCCTCATGGCCAAATCTTCATGCAAAATTGAATTTACCGATCTGATTCTCACCTTCTTCATTCGCAATTTCTTAGACTGTGATATGATGATCTTGCAAGATCAGAGTCCATACTTGCTCAAAGACATTGTCATTCCAACTTGTCGAGGAGCTATGTGAACATGGTTCACTGTCCACTGAGGTGTGGCCGACTTTGAAAGGGTTGTACAACTCCTTGATGAGAGAGGTGCTCATGGCATTGTCTCCAAAAGCCTTTTGAATCTTGTGAATGGTTTCTGCTAGGGTATCGGCAAGTTTTTGGAAAAATTGTATGCAATATCTCTGCTGAAGTTTTTAAAGTTATTTTCCAATCATTCCACAAACACTGAAATCCAATGAATGCTCACTACACGTATTCACTCATCGGCCCTACTGCCAGCAACTGATGCTTTCCTCAAGTCAGAAGAAATTCATGAATGCACTTGTGTGTCTCCTCTGTATCTTATCCTGAAGAAAATCTTCTGTGCTTCATTGGTTTACATGGTAAAAATAAAAAAATAAATAAATAAAAAAAAATGGGTTCAATACTTTTTGAACAGCATAGTATGTTTTTTCCATGCCAATGCCTCATTGGTGTGCAAATGTATGATAGCGGTTGTAAGCAAACAAGTCTGTTTTTGCTTGTTGACAACAGACAAAATCGGTTCATTTTTTATTTTAGATGCATATGGCCACATTTTCAGGGCACAACAAATACTTCACATTTGTGAATGTTCAATTATTCTGTGTGCTACATATCGCAAGTTTATTGGCAGTTGCTAGTGTGTACATAGTTGCTTTGGAATTTTCAAAAATTTTAATGCGTTTATGAGTACAATGAGTGATGTTTCAGAAGTCAAGTTATGACGATCATTTGTGCATGCTCAACTCGGAAAAAGGAAAAAATCATTAGGAATTTACAAGGCCAGAGTATAATGCATTTTAAAGCTTTAAGGAACACAAAGAGAAAATTAATAGCAAATCACCAGAAAATTATCAGCAACTATCAACATATATTTTAAGCATTGGCAGCATTGGAAAACTTATTGTTCCAGTTAAAAATGAATAAAACCTTATTATGAAGGAGACTTTTCAAATAATTTGTGAGATACTTATGCTAATTAACAATGGAGTTCAAATGAAGTGATGAAAGAGGTTAAGACAAAGTATAAGAACATTACAGCTGAAATTGTAATGATACATATATTTAAATCTTATCAAACCTTACGAACCTAATCTTATGAACCTTATCAAAAGGAACAAAGCATTCCAAGAAAAGATCCTGTTATTAAGACAGTTGAAAACAGTGATCAAGTTGATAGTATTGATATACAACTGCATGCAGATGAAGGCTAAATTTATAATAGTTTATCAGTACATTGAACAAAATTCATTGAATTAAGAGTATTAAAAACAAAATGAGCTTGGAAAATTGGTTATCTGTTGAATTTTTTCACAGTGTTTGGAACATCTGGCATCTTGAAAGAGATAATGGTCAGGAACTTGCTAATAAAATTATTGAAAAAGTTTGTGGCATTAACTCAAAATTGTTCGTTCAAAGCCAAGACATAGTGAATCACAAAACTCAGTTGAAAGAGTGAACAATACACCAAAATGGTCAGAAGTAAAATTTATGAAAAATAGTGCATCATTGTAAAATAAACCACAGTCTATATGAAGCTATATTTAGCTATAAAGCTAGAATAGGTTTAAGACATACTTTCGAGTCAATATTTTGTCAGGAATTGCAAGTGAAGATGATGTTGCTATGCTAAGATGCAAGTCTTAACAATTATGTTTAACTTTAGATAGTAATCTCAACTGAGGATGAGAATATAGAAATGAATGAGGACATTATAAAAGTGGCACTGGCAGATTTGATTGAAGACTTGGGCCCATATCACACATGCATTTATTTCACACGAACAACTGTTTTGGACAATTTGTCTGCCTGGTTTACTATTGAAAGAAAGACACGCAATTTTTTCCTTCCTTTCGAAAAAAAATTGCAAGTTGTTTGTTTTCAACCAATCAGCTATCAGCTTCAAATGTTATCAGCTTGTTTGTAACAGAGAACCAATTTCCCCTGTGTTGACCCCAAAGTGAACTGTGGTGATTGGCTGTTATGGGGGGGGGAAGCAGAAAAATTGTTCCAAACAGTTGTTCTTCCAAAACAAACTGATGTGTGATAGCAGCCTTAAAGATAATATCTGTTGCAGGTCCAATCAAAAATAGAAATTAATAATAAATAAATAATAGATAATAAGAATGATGGACAAATAGAATGGGAAATACATAATTCTGAAATAGAAAAGATCAATGATGGAAAGAGAAAGCAAGAAATTTTGTTGATGTTGCAGTAGAAGATTAAGAAGAAAGTAATTAAGACTCTTCTTTTGCAGTTGATGAAGTCTTTGAAAATATTCAAGAAACTTCACACTGTTCTAAACAATCACTAAATAAACAAGTAGAAAAGATGTTATGGCTTTCAAAGTTAAGGTTTACAGCTGTGAATGTAAAAGAAAATTTTTGAATATTTTTACCAGAGGTAGTTATGGGTAAGACTGATAGTCAGAATATTATGGTTCTTATAATTTCTAAGAAAATTTAAAACATGTATAAATTGGGCACAAAACATGGCATTTAAAACCAACTCTATACAAGGAATGATTTTACTGTCTGTAAGGAAATTCTTATTTCTGTTAATGAAGTTCTAAATATTGAAATAGCTCTAAGAGAATGTGTTCATAAGAATTCTGGGTCAAGGACTGCAGTACTGCAGTCGTACATGATAGTGGGATTTTTCAGCCAGTAGATGTTTGAAAGTGGCATACAGAGATCTCAGTTGGGAGAAAAATCGCTTTTATGGCACACCTGCTTTTCTAGAGCAGGGATGTCAAACTCGTAGGTACACTTGGGCCAAACAAACAAGGTTTAACTTTAGGCGGGCCGCAAAAAAAAAAAAAAAAATCAATATTCATAGAAATGTAGATTTATTTTGAATAATACAATAATAAACATATATATATATTTATACAAAAAAGAACAAGAAAAATGTTTACGTCCGGATACTTGACATCTCTTCTCTGCTATTATCTTTCCTATTTCGGGAGAAATTTTGTTTGCAGTGATAACTTTCAACGCTGACCCAAGGTGAGCATCATTAAATACGGTTTCTAATAGGAGACTTATTACCTTTCATGACTGAAAATACGAGGGCCATCCAGGAAGTAGATTACGTTTCCGTCTGTGTCCGCTAGGGGCGTGGCTAGCGCGGCCATCTTGGGGTCAGAGCGTTGCGCAGCTCAGTCTGCATCTAGCCGTGCTAGTGAGAGGTTCGTGCTGTGCTCCGTTCAGATACTGTGACGGTTTGAAATGTCTGCGTTAATTGAAAATCCCGCGAGGTGCGCTCAGTAGTATAATAAGGTTTCTGACTGCAAAAAAACTGTAAACCGATAGAAATCTATCGGCAGCTTCGTGAAGTGTATGGGGACAACATTATCACTGAAGGTGGAGTGCGTCAGTGGGTCATAAGATTTCAAAATGGCCGAACCAATGTTCACGACGAAGATCGAAGGGGGAGACCCAGCATAGTGACCGCCGAACTTCTCGAAAAAGTCGATGCTAAAGTCCGTGAAAATCGAAATTTCACAATAACGGAACTTTCTTTGAGTTTTCCACAAATTTCGCGAAGTTTGTTGCACGAAATCATCAGCGAAAAGCTTGGTTACCACAAGTTTTGTGCAAGATGGAAGGCAAGAAGAGGTAACGAAGTGGTTGAAGGCGCAGGCGGCCGAATTTTTCGACGAAGGAATTTCCAAGCTCGTACATCGCTACGATAAATGCCTTAATTTGTATGGTGACTATGTAGAAAAGTAGTATTTGAGTGTGGCTTTCATCTGTATATAATAAAATTTGTTTCCTATACTTTGTTTATTTTTTTATTCTCAAACGTAATCTACTTTCTGGATAGCCCTCGTAACTGCTCACACCGATAAGTGCTACCAAACATGGAAATAATTTCATATGCGAATTTTCGAGTATTTTCAAACCTGGCTGGTAAATATTTGTAAAATTCAGGCACGCCCACTTCAATGAATTTTGCTTTCAAATTTGAGTTGCATTGAATCTCGATCACCTCCATTTGCATATGGCTGGGTACTGAGTCAATACTTATTGAGAAAATCGAAGAAAACGAAAAAAAATTGTCTTCGAGCAAACTAAAATCATTAAACCTCGTTTCAAATTCAGTTGTTAAATTTGCAATTTTTTTTTGCGTATTTTTGATACGAACAAGTATCATCTAAACTTGATTTGTTCATGCTGCACGTCAGGAAGTGCATCAAATCTTCATTTTTAAGTTGATTTTCCCAAAGAACTAGTTGACATTTGAATGCTTTAATTATGTCAAACATGTTCGTAATGATATGATCTTTTCCTTGAAACGATAAATTTAAATCAGTTAAGTGTTTGGTTATATCAACCAAGAAAGATAAACTTTGTATCCATATTGGATCGTAAAACAAACCTGCATCTTGATTTTTCGTTTTTAAAAAATGACATATTTCTTCTTTCAAATCCCAGAATTGTTTGAGAATCTTGGAGCAAGATAACCAACGTACCTCGGTATAGTAGGACAAACCAAATATTCACTAAACTCACTTAAGAAAGCAGTGAATTGACGATGATTTAAACCTCGAGATCTTATAAAATTTATAACTTTTTTTATATATGACAAAACATTTCCATGTTTAACTTTCTCCATGTTTATTACTTTCGTGCATAGAACTTCTTGATGTATAATACAATGCATATGATGAATGTTTGAACCGTGAATTTCAATAAGTTTTTTTCTTAGTAATGCTACGAAGCCTTTGTTTTTCCCATTCATTGATGGAGCGCCATCTGTAGCTACAGAATATAATTTTGCCAAAGGTAGATTGTATTTCTACAGAAGTCCAAAAACACAAGTAAATATATCTTCTCCTGTGGTAGTACCAGGCATCAGTATTAGTTCCAGTAATTTCTCAAAAATGTTAAAAATTCTTGTCACAAGAATGAAGAAACACTGCTAATTGAGCTTTGCCACTAATGTCTGTGCTCTCGTCACAGGCAATGGAGAAACTTTCGAAACTAGATGATTTTGCTTTGATCTGATCACTTAAATTCACGGCTAAATCAGTAACTCTTTCCGCAACTGTATTTCGAGATAATGAAATTGATTGAAAAGCCTTCACATTTCCAGGACAAACAATTTCTCCAGCTTTCATTAGGCATTCCTTGATGAAATCACCGTCAGTAAAAGGCTTCGAATGTTTAGCTATCAACTCGGACAAGACGTAGCTTGCATGTACCGCCGCTTCACTTTCTTGCAATACTTTACTAAACATGGACTGTTGTTTTTTCACTTCTAGCTTGAGCTCTTTCAACTTTTCTTCTCTCATTAATCCTTCGTAATTGTTATATTTCGATTTGTGTTGTTCGTAATGACGTTTAATATTATATAACTTCGGTACATTAATAGTATTATTACATATCAAGCAGATTATTTTATCTTTTATTTCACAGCAAAAATATTCCAAGTAAATTCCAATTTTACTTGGAATATTCTATGTTCGTCAGCGATTTTTCGTTTAATTTTACTACTACTTGGTTTTGATATAGACATACTGAATACAAAGGGCTGGAATAAACACGGTTAACGTTAAAAAGTTAACAAAAATTTATTCTTTCCACAAGAGATAAATCAAAATGCTGAAATATTTCTTCCAAAATATTCTAACAATATCACAAAATGTCAAATGTTTAGCAAAAATCAATTCAAAACAGAGAAACTAATTCTATCTCACAGCGAAATCGCTACAAATCAATCACTGCATTAAGTAAACAAACAGTTCACTAGAACTACAGCTACTACTGAGATGAGTTGTTTGTTCTCGGCTTTTATAAGCTTTCTAATTAATTTCTCGAATATACTGGAAACATCTATAAATATCTGGATTTTTGGGGATGGCAACAGCAATTACGAGATATTTATTTATTAGGTATTAAATGCACGCTCTGTTCTATTTTGAACCTTCCAACGCAGCTGTCTTTTCAAAAATCGTCTGCGTTGCTAAGGCAACATGAAACAAATCTAATTACAATTCTAAATAAAAAAAAAAAAAAAAAACTAAATAAATAAATAACTATGAAATCTGTAACAATATAAATTAAGTAATAATTAATAATAAAGCAAAGTGCATGCACATGCATGCACCAATATATCGTACAAAACTATGATTGGAAAACTGAGACCATGAGTTCGGCCACATTCGGCTATCGGGGGATGCGTACAAGTTCTGAGTGCACGTGTTCCCCAAAAGCCGAAGGTAGCTGAACGCAAGCTACTCACATGCATTTGTAATTTAAGTAGTGTGTGTCAGCTCACTGTAAGTAATCTAACGACACTGAATAAATTATCGTTAATTACTTAGCAGTAAACATTTCATTTTTTCTTCATCGATATGTTATTTTATTGTTATATATTATTATTTGCCGATATATTGGCCATGCCGCAAAAATATTTGTTGTGGGCTGCGAGTTTGACATCCTTGTTCTAGAGTATTGTATTCTTCATTCCTAAATTTTGTGAAATAAAAGAGTCTAAATATTGGACATCTGGATTTCATACTTTGTACTGTATGATTCAAACAAGTCTGTGAACTAAACAGGGGGCTCAAAACTGCAATAAATTTAGTAAGAATGAAAGAAAAAATTTTTATAACGTATCTAGAACAGCTAGGATAGGATACATCAAAGCAAAAAAAAAAAAAAAAAAATACAAGATTTGCTGCTGCTGCATTTAATTCATTTGATGGTTTGCTTGTTTTATGATGTATTTTATTATTTTAATTTGTTTGCTAAACAATCTTGGTTATGGTTGGGTTACATCAATCAACAATTAGCTACTTGATATGGAACAAAATGTGTAGGTTCATGTTTTATTTTTTTTTTAATTCTTTTTATCTTATTTACTATACTTTGATGTTATAAAGTTCTTGTTTTATTTTTTAATTTTCTTTTTTCCCTATAGTCTGTTAATTCTGGCTCAGAAAGATTGATTTTTCACCTTGTTTTTTTATGTATGTATATGTAAATATGATTTGTTTGAAAGTATTTTTTAGAGGATGGAGCTGGATTTTCATGGCAGGAGCTAGTCTCCAATTTTTTTATTTGTGTAGCACTTGTTTCCATTTTTTGTATTTAGTGACAAGAGGCGAAAAGCAGCATATTACCTACTGTGTAAAATAGAATTGGTTATATAATAATTTAATTTAAATTTTTTATTATTTTAGGCAATGTATCCAAGCATGTTAAATCTCAACCTGTTCCAAAAGACAATAAAGGTCCAGTATTGGTGGTTGTTGGATCTACATTTGAAGAACTTGTAACAAAGAGCACCAAAGATGTTCTTATTGAGTTTTATGCTCCATGGTGTGGTCACTGCAAAAAATTAGAACCTGAATACAAGAAACTTGGAAAAGCTTTTGCCAGTAATGATAAAGTGGTGATTGCAAAAATTGATGCAACAGCTAATGATTATCCAGAAGAATTTAAAGTTGATGGTTTCCCAACCATCTATTACATACCTGCAGCAGACAAGAAAAATTTAATTACTTACAGTGGGGAAAGGACTTTAAAAGATCTGTCAGATTTTGTTAATAAACAGATTTCAAAGGAAGCAAAAGATGAACTTTGAACTAATTAACAAACTAAATCTATCAAAACTCTTTTTTTTTTTTTTTTTTTTTTTTTTTTTTTTTTTTTTTTTTTTTTTTGCACATGCTTTCTCCCACGTCGTTCAGCAATGCATGTTTTGTCCAAGTAAATGTCAAGTTTATTTTTAATATGTAATTTCTTCGGTTTTAATGTTATCTTTTTTATTTTAATTTTCTAATTTGTGAATGTCACAGACAGAATAAATTTGCTACTTTAAAAAAAAAAAAAAAAAAAAAAAAAATTCTGCATGTTAAAATATATATTTTTGTTAATGTTTTTTTAGTGGATATAGGTGTTTAATCTCTAATCTCCCTTTTTTGTTATTGTTAAGGTGTCATTTTGATTTTTAAATTTTTATAATAAATTGTTTCAAAATGAAGTTATGCAGGTTGTTTAAATTTACATGCAATATGAATAATTTTCAAATGGTTTGGGCCTATAGGAAATATATAAAAATAAGCAGTTGGCAGTTCGGAAAAATAACTTTTGCATAAACTGTCATACATGTATCAAATACAAGGACAAATTTTGTAACTTTTTAAATGCATTCCATGTTATGCAAAGAACAAATTTTCTTTCATGGTCAGTTTAATGTATATTAGCTCACCTTTCTTTGCTGGTTCCAGTCACTTGATTGAGAGTGATTATTTTGAACTGTGATTAGAGTTTGTCTTCCTATACATGTAAAAACTCTCATTCTGTTTCTTTTGCATCAGTTTGATTTGCTCATATTATATAATACTTAACTTTCATTGTTTCCTCCCTCTGGGTTAGGCAATTTAAATTTTTATTCATTCTCCATTCAGATCTGAAGGAATTTTTTTGTATGTCACTTCATTCGTTTAATTTCCATTCTTTGGAAACTCATAAAAGCAGAACTATTTTGCCTAATTTTAATATGCACCAGTGGTATTCAAACTAATGGGTTGTGAAAATTTATAATGGGTCGGAAGGTAGATAAATATGCTTAAAAAAATCTGAATGTATAGTATATAACTTAGATTCGATGCTCTGACTAGGGTTGCAAAATTATTTTTGGAAGTCATTTGCATTTTTATAGGGTCGCATTGCCATAAAGTTTGAATACCACTGTTGTAGACCATTCCTGATTTTTTAATTTCAGAATTTACTTTTGAGTTCTTGAGTAACATTTTATAGCTAATGTTCTACTTCATTAAATGATAACAACTGCTTTCTGTATCTAGGAAATGGCTTTTGCATTATTTGCAATACTTTCAAATGTACTGAGCTCACACATGAATTATAATGCAGGGCTGTTAAAGTACAGTGAATACTAACAAAAATAAGTATAAATTATTTGAAATATTTTTGAAGTTTAACAAAATTACTTTTTTATCTGTATATGTTTAACACTGCCACTTGCTCAACTACTTGGTGTGCTGCAATAAGTGGCAAATGTGTGGTATATTAATTGATTTAGTGAATAATTTTTTATTAAAATGTTTTTACATAAAAATAAACATTTTCATACTCTGTTGCTTGAAATAGTTTCATTTGAATTAACACAACACGTAGCAATAGGTATTCGCTGTAATAATATTGCAGAATGATGTTGTGTTGTTATGTTATAGCATATGCAACATGTTATTCTGAATCATAAATTTTCCAGAAACATAATGAAGCTTTTGTGGTATTATGCAATAAATTTTAAAGTGATAAAACTCTTGAGCTTGAGCTTGAGCATGTACCATAAACAGATCACAAATTAATCTCTTGCATTAAAGTTATACATTCCTTATTATCAAAAAGTCATAACTAAACTTACATTTCACTTGAAAATAAATTTCAATATTTTCTTTTTAATGTTTAAACTGGCAATTTCATAAATGTGGGAATTTTGCTAATTAAAAAATGTGTAAAATGTATAAACCAGATCAAAATAATTTTAATTTATGAGCAAACTTAGAAATTTCTTAGTAATACTAGAGATATTAGCATTTTTAAGTGAGTTCGCTTAAAGAAATCATAAATTCATTAACTTAATAATTTTCCTATTTACATTTAAGTTGGTATATGATAGTGCATGTTTTTGAGACTGGAAATGCCTCTAGTAAATTAATTACTATTTTTCTGATATGACATTTTGGCAATGAATGCTATTATGCTTTTAGTCCTTTTAAAAATTTAATTTTTTATCTATAATAATGCCTTATTTGGAGATAAATGAGTGTTAAATAGGAAAAGAAAAGATTAAAAATTTATGATATAAAGTTTTTAGAAGCATTAAAGTATTTAAATAACTTTTAAGAGTACTTTTTATTAATCCTGATGATGTGTAAAACTGAAGATGTTTGGATAGTGATACACTGAAACATCCCAGTCACTAGAAAAGCTTAAAATTTTACATGTAGGTAGATAATACTCATTTATTCCATAAGCCATCTTATCATGAATTTCAGTCCTATTCCTAAGGCTATTTACTAAATTGTACTAGCAGTTTACAAACATTTATTACGTTTTAATGATGGCAGAAGAAGTCACACAGTTCCCATGTTTCTTGAAAAATAAGTAATGTGAAACATTAGCAATAGAAAAAGTATTTAAATAAAAACATAACTTAGGCATTTAACTATGTGGGCAAAATTTCCCTTTTAAAATGATATACTATTTATTTGCTACAAAAGTTTAAATAAATTTGTTCTTAGGGAGAAGTTTAAAAAAAAAAAATACGAGTTGTAAGTGATCAACAAAGGATGCACAAAAATTATGAAAAATTTTTGCTAAAGTTACCACAGTTGCCAAAAGCTGAGAAATAAATATTGTTAGTACAGAATATATTTAATACTTATTTTACAATCATTATTTATAAATCAAAATGTTTCATTTCCACTTTGTAGAATATTATGTAGTTTAACCATATTAAACATATGCTATTTATAAAAGATCTCTAACTGCAGATTACTGCGGCAGTATATTTTTTTGAAATTGTACCATTAGTTTAATCTTTCATGGGTATTTTTACCTTCAGTGTAATGGCTAAAAGATACATTTAAAGCAATACAAATATTTAAAGAATTTTTTGGAAAAGAAGTGATGTAATGAAGATTTTCATTTATCATATAATTATAAGTATTGAATATTATGAAGAAAATATGTATCATTTGGGTCAAAACATTTGAAAATTGAATAGAGCAGGTCAAATTAAATTATCTAACATCAGTTTAACTAGATATGTTATAAATAGATTTTAATTTTGTGTGGAAGTAAGCTTCTAATGCAAATTATATTTAATTTTTTTTTTTTAATTCTCTTATATGAAGTAGGGATTTTTTTGTCCCTTTTTACTTCTACAACATTCAAAGAGCAGAGGCTTAAGGAGACAGAAAATTACTTTTAAATAATTTAAGCTCATATGCTGGCAATCATTTGTAATTAACAGTTTGATGTCATGTTTAATTTTGTACAATTATTTATTGATATATTCATAAAAATGTTTAATTTGATATATATACATAAAGCATCTATCTAAGGGTTTAATAGCCATGAATACCAATTTTGGGTAAGAGTAGCAACGAGAAGAAAAATAACAGTTCCTCGTTAGTTTTCTTTCTCCATGTAAGCAATGCTCAGATATTCGATCTATGGCATTTAAATTCTTTGGGAATAGCTGATCATATTGAAAAGAACAAAACGGAATTAGAAGAGCTTGCTTTTAAACACTTTAACGCAATTGTTGGCAGAGATGAAGATATGAAATAAAGATTCCCTGATTAGAAGGCCATCGTCTATTGTTAGATAATGAAGATTTATGTAGGAAAAGACTTAATAACACAGTGAGATCCCTTAATTCTGCATATAAGTTAGATGCATATCAAGAAGTATTTAATAAAAGGAAAATATTATGGAACAAGTAAATTCGAGTGAAGACTCTAAAAGCGATGAGAATTTATATATTCATTTTCTGCCACATCAAGCTGTTATCAAAAAAAATTCCACAACCAAAATAAGACCAGTTTTTGATGGATCAGCTACAATTCGTAATGTGGTGTGTCTCAACGACTGTATCAAAAGGGACCTGATTTGATTGAACTCATCTCTTCAGTGTTGAACTGTTTCCAATGGGGAAGGATAGGAGTTATAGTGGATAACCGAAAGGCCTTCTTACAAATAAGTTTACATAAAAATGACAGGAATTTTCTGAGGTTTTTAATGGTGGCAAGATCCCTGCGTCTAAGTTTGTTATAGACATCGCCGCATAGATTTTGCCCTTTTCTGTAGCCTTTTTCTTCTAGCTGTTATACTGACACACCATTTAGATAGATCAAGCATCTGAGAAGGAAGAACTGGCAAGAAAAATAAAGAATTTGATATATGTTGGCAAATGCGTGACCAGTATGGATTCTTTTGAGGAGCCAGTGGCGTAGCGAGAGCGGGCAAGAGGGTGTATGATGCTCTTCCAAACAAGATTATCCTGAAAATTTCAGTGTTTATTTTGATCGATTTCTGGAAAATATATTTAAATTTAATAATTATTGTAATGTAATTAATTATTTATTTCTTGATTTGTTTGAAAAAAATTTTGCAGTACATCAACCAAATATCTCCCCATACAAAACGTTCTTTCTGACCACTTTATTTTTCTAAAATAGAGACATATTTAATTTTTTTAAACGAAATGTACTTATAGCTTCCGCTTTTTATTTTAAAACGATAACACGACCCTGTCCCATATTCTGGAAATGACATTTTTGGAAACTCCGCTATAATGGATTGCATTTGACTCTCCTGTAAACAACTGATGGCCTTCCTGGCTACCGATTCAACTAAGTCATCTTGCTGAGACATCGTATAATTCACTGCTACAAAGCATTCAACGCGTGCCAATTTTTTTTAATCTCCTCCTACAAAAGGAATGCTGCAGGTCGCTCGTTACTCCTTATCTAAAACGCATAGTTTTCGATGTCACAGACTAAATTTGCATATTCCCAACTTTGTAAACGTTATAATTTTCCTTTATAATCTCTTCTATTTTCTTTTGTTAAAAATGTTTTCGATTACCTGGTTATTTCATACCGAACTCACAATATCCCCTAACTGTTTTGAGCAGTGAATGTGACTGCAAGATATTGATCCGCAATAGAAAAGAAACTAAACCTAAAACTCCATTACAGATCTATGGAGAAAATATTTTTCCAAACCTAAGAATAGCACTTCAAGTACACCATACTATTTCATTATCAAATGCTTAGCTATGAACGTTCGTTCAGCAAATTAAAATAAATTTTCACATATTTACATTTAATGGAATACGATGGGATCAAGATCCCCTAAGTGACCTAACATTTTTAAATGTGGTATTAGAAAAATTTAAAATGATCCACTTTCATGAAGTCATTGATAAATTTGCTTCATCCAAGGCAAGAAAAATGTATACATAGTAATTAATTGTATTAATGTATTATAATAATATTATTATTAATAAATATACCTACTTATCTATAATATAATATTAAACTTTTAATTGTTTAAAAATTGTGCTTTTTTTAAAAAACTATTATACAAATATGTAAAATAAATAATACCTTTTTAACTAATTCTAGATCATCGTATATCTGATTTTTCCTGCCGACAGAGATATATTTCCGAATTCAATGCTAGTGTAGTTAGGTAGTGACTATTCTTAATGTATTTTAGAGTATTTTATGGCAGATTCAGCATTTTATTATTATTTACATATCTTTCTTATTACGAATATATTTTATACATTATATTACTGTAAGTGTTTTTTTGGGAGGAGGCTCCAAAAAAGGTATTTTGCCTCGGGCGCTAGTTATGCTCGCTACGCCACCGTGAGGAGCTTAATCTTTTCCATTCCAAATTTTAGAAACTGTTGAGTTCAGCTAAGTTTGATCTTCGGGGATGGGAACACACCACTTGTCTATCTTTATAAGGTATTCCTCCTACTTCCCTAGCATGCCTTCGCGGTGTAACGGTAGCACGCTGGGCTGGTATTCCAGAGGTCCGTGGTTCGATTCCCGGCGAAGTCGGTTGCGTATTTTTCATCTTTTCTGCTTCCAATTAACCTAATGACTCTACCAATTAACCTAATCTTCACCTACAGAAAATGACTGCGAAAAAAAAGAAGTTCCTGTTTTAGGACTGTCTTGGAATCTACATGATGATACGTTATCGATTGACATAAAGACATCCACTGGTGAAGAAAGGATTTCAATAACTAAAAAGATCCTATCTTTGGTTCATAAAATTTTCGATCCTATACTTTACAACTGTCCATTTACATTAGTATCAAAGTTGTTATTACAGGAATGTTGGAAACTAAAAATCTCGTGGGACCTGGCATTGCCATCAGAAATCCCAAAAAAGTACCACAAATGGAAAAATCAACTATCAGAGATCAAGATGATTAAAATTTCTCGCAGATTATCAGCACGAACTTCGGCACGAAAATTTTATCATTACATGTATTTTGCGACTCATGCCAATCGTCATATGCTACATGTATTTTCTTGAGAGTAG